TTCATTTTCTCTTCCTGCTGTTACAAAGATCAGCTTTAAAAATTGTCAGGCAGTACACTGGAGCCTCTTAATCAGCCTTTGCACACTGAGCACAAGGTGGGCACAGATTCTAAAGAGCCTTATTTTAGATTTCTTGACCTCTACGGTGATACTCTGCATGGACTCCAATATCGTCATTGTAGCAAGATACTACCTCACCAACTGTGTTCTCTCTCATGCCTCACAGTGGGGAAGGGGTGAAAAACTGAAGGTAACCTTCAAACCACTGGTTTACTTAATTATCCCATCATAACTTTTTTTGTACATTAGCTGCAGAAGATCAGAAATAAATACAGCTTAAGATTTGAACCACGTCCTGCTGTACTTTTTCTCATAAGCCTGAAATAGAATTTTCTAACACCTTTTGTGGTTGGAAATACTGAATTTAAATACGGCTGCAGATATAAACAGAAAGAGCAAGATGTGGATCGATGTGCTTATTTCAGTAAGATGCAGCCACGTTATTTCTGAAATACAGATACTAGAACTGATAAAATGACAAGTAGAAAATACAAAAATCTGGAGATGTGCACTGTAGTGACAATGAGCCTTTAAATAACATGATTCGGTACTAATAAAAGACCTGAAAAACGAACAACTTTATTTTGTTGAGGGTCTCTTTTGGTCACAATTTTTAAGATTAATTATTAAAAAAACATTTCATTATTACTGATACCAATGGTATTGACATAGATAGGTATCCTTTTTATTTTTCTGAACAAAAGATAAAGATGAGAAACCAGAAACATGGAATGGTTGAGTCTGAGCTCAAGGTCAAGGATTCATTATTTTCTGATTTATGTATATCAAACTCTAGCTACCTAACATATGTAATGTCCTTCCCAAACAAAGGCCCCACGTACCTCAGTATTACCCTAGAAGCTTCTGTCTTACATTCAGTTTTGCAAACTTACAGAATGGTGCCTTTACTATCTGCATTCAGTGACAACTGGTGTAAACGTGGTTGGGTCAGGGAGCAAAAAGACACCAACATTTGTTACTTTTGTCATATAAATCTAAGAATTTATAGATGCCTAAAATTAAACTCTTTAATTCCAGAGATCTACTATGATCTACTTTTATAAGGCACACAAAGGAAAGTGATTACCCATTACTGGAAGAAATAACTAAGTAGATGAGAAAACCAAATCTATCATAATCTCACAAATACTTTATGATTCATTGAGCAAACCTGCCACAGTATCTTAATGTGCCACCACAAAAATGGGGTCTAGTCCCCCAACACAACAAAGAAGTGGGTTTCGCTGCACAGGTAGGACTTTGGCAGTGACTCAAGCACCTTACTGTCATTTGGATTCTGAGATATAAACCAGAACACATGACCTAAGAAAGCCTATCCTATGACCCAGTTAAAAACTTTTCAAAGAATTTATGGAACTGAAAATGTTCATTTTATGTCTTTGCTGACTGATCTGGAAGACATCTAGGTAGGAAAGTGCTGTGACTGTCTCTTCACTCGGCCAGTTTAGTCAACAGATCTACACTAAAGCCAACTACCACCCCCATGCATTTGGCTTTTATCCATTACAAAGCGGTGCATCAAAGACTCTTTTCTGTGCATCCGGGATTACTGAAGTCCGCTGTCCCCCCAGTCGGGTGGATCAGCTGCCATGGTTGCCGTGCACTGCAGTGAGACACGTCCGTGGCGCTGCCCCACCGTCAGCGATGGCGCCCACGGCCCTCAAAGGGTGAGGCAAGGAGGGCACCAGCAACACCACAAGGTTGACAGGAGGAAAACAAGACAGTACTTTTTATAGCAGTGTTATTTAATCGTGCACTGTTATTTTAAACAAATTGTGTTTGGCTTTAAATAGCAGAGATGATGAAACAGTCAGGTTCAAATCATAAATTATGGATAAGGGCTGTGGAAGAACAGGAAGACTTTATAAAAATTACAGGGGGGAGACATAATACAACTTCACTAGAAAACAGTTGCTATAAAAAAACATTCTTTATAAAAAGGTTTTTTCTTTTCTGCTAGCTTTAAAGCACAGATCGCACCATTGTTCCTCCAGGTCTGAGGTCAGCAGACAGAAATTTTCTATGGAACTATTTACTATCGAACAAATATTAATTTGGGCTTTGTGGGCCTTACAGTGCGTCACAACTACTCAATGCTCCTGTTGTACCTTGAAGATAACCATAGGCAACATGTAAACCAATGAGCACAGCTGTATTCCAATAAAACTTTATTAGTATTTATTAAAATGTCTACTTAGTTTTGATAGAGAGAGAGAGAGAGAGTATGAGCAGGAGAGGGGCAGAAAGAGAGGGAGACAGAATCTGAAGCAGCCTCCAGGCTCTGAATTGTCAGCACAGAGACCAATGTGGAGCTCAAACCCACTGACCGCGAAATCATGACCTGAGCGAAAGTCAGACACTTTAACGGACTGAGCCACCCAGGTGCCCCCCAGTAAAACTTTATTTACAAAAACAAGGGGCAGGCTTGGATTGAAGCAAGGGCTGTAGTTTACTAGTCCCTCTTCTAGACTAGCACTGTCCAACAGAAATATTACACTAGCTACGTGCGTAATTAAAATTTTTCTAGTAGCTACATTGGGAAAAAATTAATTTTAGTGATATATTTTATTTAACCCAAAATATCATTTCAACATGTAATATAAAACTATTAATAAGACACTTTACTTTTTGTACTAAGTCCTCAAAACTGTGCATTGTACACTCATTGCATACTAGTTGGATTTCAAGGGCTCAACATCCACATGTGGCTAGTGGTTAGCGAATTGCAGCATATGTTCTAGAACTTCCATGATGGGATTTCTACAACGAATCTGGAGTTTAGTGACAAAGTGTTGGCATTTGGTTCTTAAAAGATAGGGGATATAATTATGTTGCCTCCAGGGAGATAGGACAAGGGACTACAGCTGGTGGCCTCTACTCCTGGCTGAGGTGGCCCAGGAGAACTAGACCAATGACTCAGGCGATGTCAGCTTCACCTGTCAATGCAGCCGGCAAATCTACTTTACTTGGAGAAAATACCTGATACAGACCACAAAACGATCAAGGTTTGAACACATTATTGTAATTTTGGGCTTTCAGTAAAGAATGCTAATTGTCATCAATACAGCCAGTCTTCAGCACGGTCACTGTAGTAGAGCTGAAAGCATAGAAACATGTGATTTGGTAGATAAAATGAAGAACCGAGTAGTAAGGGAAAAAAAGCTTCACAACCAGACTGAATGTTTACAATATATTAAAACAGTCTAAATGGTTTTTCAATTATCTTTGTGTAAGAGTTTCATGCTAGCCAGCAAGAGCAGAACCAGTTACCAAAGGGTAATCAGAAGCCGTCATCGTAAGTTCAACCCTGAGAGGTTCTTCAGTTTTTAAACCCCACTTTCCAAGTGATCAAATCAACGTTTCCAAGATAAAAATGATAGAAACATCTGGTAATAAAACTTAAGAGGCGAGTGTTTTTAACAAAAAATTTATTACCAAAATACAATATTAAAGTCAATACATGACAAACTCCTGTAAAGCAAAATAAATTATTCTAACATTGTACAGTATTTCCAAAGGTAGTTAAAGAAGCACTATCGACCTCGCTTCACTGTTTGTTGAACAGATAAACTGCTCTACCATGAACACGATCCTCGAGTTTTAGACTTTAAGGCATGCAGCTCGTTGTGCAGGATAATTTTACAAAATGCAAATCATCCTATTTTAATAAGATACAGTGTCAGAATTAACTGTAGTCTTTACATGTCAGTGTTCCAGAAATTTTTAGACTTTGGCTATAGAAGCAATGCCATAGTGTTACACAATACTTATTTCTTAAAAAAATACATGTATTCATGTCCATGAATATCAAACTCAAATTTCTATTAAATATATTTTATAGAATATTACTTAGAGCACCTTGCTGTACAATAAAAAAAGATTAAATAAGTGTCTATGAAAACTAAAAATATAATAAGTCTCAATAGAGAAGCCTGCTTGTCTTTGTCAAGCCAAGTACATGGTGGGAAGATACAATGTAAACATGGGTGCCCCCCATCTGCTGTGTGAGAAAAGACAGAGAAAGTAATAATGAAGCCACCAATAGCTACCTCGAATAGGATGAGAGATCTAGAACAGAAGCTTCTGTCAGTGTCATTGCACTGCACTGGCTGCACACAGAACTAAAGTCCAGGGATCACTGGGATACAGGCGTGGGACACTAACCACATCCTGGACTATTAGAGAGTGAGAGAAAATGATGACCCCTGAAAAGTATTACCTGTAATGATCAGAATGCAATGCACCATCTTGCCCCCTCCTCACCTTTGCCTGGTATCCAGTAAGTTTCTTTGAAAAATTAATTTTACTATCTAAGAACTGTTAGGTGTTTAGAGTGGGAAACGAATACTATGAGCATTATATGCCAAAAGATCTAGTATCACCGAATACATAGTTATTCCTATAAAGGGAATTCCTGCCGATTATTTAATACCTACCTCTTGTACAATTACATTGCATACTTCGCCTTCATTATTACTTTTAGAAATGCTCAATTGTTCCTGGTAGAGACACTCTTAACTTCCGGCTTGCTATCAAATGGTGACAGGAAGGTAGAGAACACCCATGGTATAAGGTTCTTCCCAAAGCCCCACAGAAAGCATTTTAGGCCAGAATCAGATGAACATTTAAAGGTTTGGAACTTCTGGGTGAATTTTTCCCATGAGCTAGGGAAATTTTAAATTCATGATTCCAAATGGAGAATTTAAGTAACAATCAATGGAAATGGTTTAGGGAACTGAAGGTTAATTTAAAAACTATCAATGTTTTTGGGATTTTTTTGGTTATTAGTATTTCCAAATGATTACATAAAATTAAAACCAAGAAACCTTTATAAAACAAAATTCTGCTAAGAAGGGTTTTAATTTTCAGAATGAGCAGTTAAGAATGGAACCATTTAAAATATCCACTTAAACATGATATGAGATAGAACTGAGTTTTAATTCTGAAAACAGGAGAAAATGAACATAAATCTACATGCAGTGAACTTGGGTTATATAATTAGTATATATAAATTCATTTTATGTTTTTAAAAACCACCTATCAGAAATGGATTAACTCTTATAAATAAAGCTACCTAAATCAAACAGCTGGCAATTACAATCGATTCTGTTTGTTTAAATATCATCATCAAAATAAGATGTAAAAAAAAACAAAAAAACTGAACAATGTTTCAAGCTGGCCTGGCCCCACTTAACAGTTCCTGATGCTATCTTAAAAATATTAATTTATTCAGTCCATACCTGGACTCGGGGAAGGGAATTCTTTCCTAAAATGTGTCTACAGAGTAATCACTGTCTTCTAAGTTTATCAGAGTCACAGCCTCAGCTCTAGAACATGTTAGAGATCAAGTTCAGAAAGAGCACCATGAAGATGGTGCACTGCTCGGTGCACCGGCCTTCTGACTTGTGCGCAGAATTTACTTCAACAAAACGACGCAAAAATAAATGATCAGTACTACAGAAGCAAAACCAAAACCACCCTGTTCTCTTCACTTTGAAATATATTATAATACAGAACGTGTAATTAATGAGAAGATTACATGTATTTGATGGCGAGTTTTAATGCAAAAGCACTTGTAGTTGCCTGTCCATATGTCCTATTGCACACTAACCAAAAGGAATAGCCTAGATAGGAGAAACCCTGTAGACTTGCGCCAAGTTAAAAGTTTTATAAACAACCTGAATTTTTACTATAGTTTAGCCACATTTGATTATACCTCTTATGCTAAGTATAACTAGATTAATAAACTCCAGGCAGTAAAATCTCAATAGCAGTACTCATTTTAAGGGGCCTTTGAATTTCACCCCTCGTCCCCCAAATGATTTTTATTTAAGAGTTCCAAGGATTTCCAAGGTCTGATGATCAAATGCGAATCTTCACACTTGGCTGCTTGCATAGACCTTTGAGATGACACGCTTGGTTTAATTTAGAAGAGAGGATCAGCCTGTGTTAAGTATGGAGGAAACTGCGGTGTTCTGTCAAACACTCTGAAAGTGTGCTGCACTACATGGGTCCCCATTTTCACAAACTTTGTGATTTGGTTTGAGGCTGGTGGGAATTCACCTATTTTCTCCTTTGCCCACAAGACATTCACTGTAAATTTAAGACAATAATTTACTTCTTAAATGCCTATTTACAATCTAGATTTGGATTCAGAGGTCTCTTTTTTAGGGAGAAATATATCCTAGATTGAGTATATAATTAACTCCTATCGATTTGGGAAGAGTTGGGTCGATCACTTCACAGCCCTCTGGTGACCTTTTCTGTGCTGACTCTGCTGGTCACAGTGAAAAGCCCTCAGAGAGCAGCCCCCTGCCCCTGATGAGAGGCCCAGCCCTCCACAGCTGGCATGTCCAAGTTCGGAATGAAGAGAACTAAGCTCTGCTTAACACTGGGACACTTTTATAACAGGAAGTTTTAGAACAGTTCTGGAAAAGCTCTTTCTTAACTCTTCTGCTTGCATTTCTACACTATAGTAAGCTCTGAAGAATAAATACACCCACCACTAAGAAGAGGTCACAGGGTGAGAAGAGGGCACAGGGCCAACACAGGGTTACATCTTTGCTTCCTCCTCAACCTACTTCCCCTCACTCACGATTAGCATTCCTGCTTATCCATTTGGAATTCTTTTTATTATACTGCAAATTTGGTTCCAAAGTCACACCTTGTCTTTTCCTCAAAACAACGAACAAAAAAACCCTCCACACCAACTATTTCTTCTGTGTCTAGTAAGTTATTTGATAGCACAAAGGCGAAACTGGTTTAAAAGATTTCTCTTCTCCCGTGTTCCTCTTTAAGTACTCAGTCTAATTTGTGTTTAGGGTTGTGTTGTGGTCCTTACTTAGGATGATGTTTACAATCTCACCCTCATGCTCTTTCATATGATCCAAGAGATTCTCCTTGCTGGTAGATTCAAAACCGCAAATACAACAACAGAAGAGTAAAACGCAATACTCCATGCCAGGAGGGGCCTGGCTGGAGTTTTTTTCTAAACTGCATGAGGTATTACTGGTAGGGCTCAGTTTCTCATTGTCGCTGGAACCGACAACTTCGCCAGGGGCCTGGGAAATCAGCTCTGAGGCTGACACCAAGTTTTCCGAACTTCCAGTGACAGGATCAGCTCTTTCCTCACTGCTACTTGAGAGCATCTTTCCAGGGGACTTCCCTAGAACTCTTAAAGAAAAAACAGAACACGCCAAGCCTTGAGCTGGTTATAATGTAAGCCCAGCAGATTTAACCCTCACTTTTCTTTTTTTTCAAATATATATATATATATATATATTTTTAAATGTTTTTATTTATTTCTAGGAGAGAGAGAGAGAGCATGAGCAGGGGAGGGTCAGAGAGAGAGGGAGTCACAGACTGAAACAGGCTCCAGGCTCTGAGCTGGCAGTCAGCACAGAGCCCGACGCGGGGCCCGAACCCACGAACCGCGAGATCATGACCTAAGTGACAGTCGGACGCTTAACTGACTAAGCCACCCAGGCGCCCCTCAAATATATATATTTTTTAATGTTTTATTTATTTCTGAGAGAGAGAGAGAGAGAGACAGCGTGAGCAGGGGAGGGTCAGAGAGACAGGGAGACACAGAATCCGAAGATAGGCTCCAGGCTCTGAGCTAGCTGTCAGCACAGAGCCCGCCGTGGGGCTCGAACCCACGAACCGTGAGATTATGACCTGAGCTGAAGTCGGACACTTAACTGACTGAGCCACCCAGGCGCCCCTTAACCCTCACTTTGGTTTACATACAACAGAAAGGAAGGGGATAGGACCGAATACCTGCTGCTCTGTGAAATGGCATCATTGATGGCTTTGTTTACTTGTTCGTAGTTATAATTCTGGTCACTAGCATGCTTCCACATGTGAGACTTCAAAGAAGGCGGATGGCTGCATACGTACCCACACAGAGAGCATCTGAAAGACACGCATGAGAGTCAGAATGATCCCCCAGCATCATTTAAATAATTATAATGGTTCTGTAACGATTATGAAATTCCTTCCCCTGAAGCCTTATGAGACATTGTATTTTACTAAATCTAAGATGTTATCTGATTGCAAGTGACATATTGATTTCAGAGGCTAACATGTCTTAGAACAGATATCCTAGAATCGATAAAATTAAGGACTTTATATTATAAAAAATTATTAGAATCATGACAAACATTCCAGTTTACGTGGCTATTACAGTATTTAGAAAGATTTCTAATATACTAACATACAAAAATCTTTGCTCTAAATTATTTAACCACACACAGAAAGAAAAATACACAAAATCAATACTTTCTATACTGCTTTATTTCTTAAGAAAGCAAAAAGGAATTAAATAATTTCAGTAAGAACTCTGCTTATTAACAGATCCACAGAAAATGGAAGTAGTAGTCCTGGAAAGCATCAACCATTTACATTTCATAAATAAAGCGGATAATTAAAAAATTTTTAAACGTTTCTATTCAAAATAACATTTTTTTCACATAATTGGCTACCCTCAGTAAAATCTGAACTGAATGAAACATTTAAAAAAAAGTAAAAAAAAAAAAAAAAAAGAATAGACTCTTTTTTCAAGTAGACGCTTTTGGCACATTTTTAGGTTTATCCCCTCTTTCTCCAGCACCCAGTTCCCCCTCTTAGTAATGTCCTGCATCAGTGTGCAGTATTTGATACAAATGGTGAGCCAGTTCAGAAACATCATCCATCAGTAACAAGTCTACAGTTTACACTAGGGCTCACCGTTTGTGTTGCATAGCTCTCTGTGTTCTGACAAATGCGTAATGTCATGTATCCACCACGACAAATCATAGAGAGTAACTTCCCTGCTGGAAATATCCCTTGTGCTCTACGTGTTCACCCCTTCCAACCCCTGAATCCCTGGCAACCACTGATTCGTTGCCTCTTCCAGAATGTCCCATAGTTGGAATCATACCGTATCATACCTTTCTACACTGGTTTATCTCATTTTAAGTCCCTTCATCTCTTTTCACATTTGAAGTCCCTTCATCTCTTTTCATGGCTTGATAGCTCTTTTCTTATTGCCAAATAATGCTCCATTGTCAGAATGTATCACAATTTGTTTATCCATTCACCTACTGAAGGATATCTTGGCTGCTTCCACATTTTGGCAATTATGAATAAAGTTGCTATAAACATATATGTGCAGGTTTTTGTACGGTTAGGAGTTTTCATCTTTTGGGTGAATACCTAGGAGCACAACTGCTGGACTGTATGATAAAGTTATATTTATCTTTTTAGAAAACAGCAAATGTTTTTCAAGATTTTATTTTTAAGTAATCTCTACACCTAACTCGGGGCTCAAACTTATAACTCTGAGAGCAAGAGTCATAAGCTCTAATGAATGAGCCAGCCAGGTGCCCTGTAAAGACTTAAGTAGAAGCCTAACAAAACAGGTAACTTATCTGAACTCTTCACTGTAAGAGACATGGTCACTAATAATGAAGCACAAAGAAAATAAAAAGCACAATAAAAGAGAGTAAATAAGACAACTAAATACGGCAAGGATTAAATTCTTCCTCTAACCCATCTTACACTTTATGGTGGGTTCAGCAGCATTATCTATTTTTAAAAATTTTTTTAATGTTTATTGATTACTGAAAGACAGACACAGAGTATGAACATGGGAAGGTCAGAGAGAGGGAGACACAGAATCCGAAGCAGGCTCCAGGCTCCGAGCGGTCAGCACAGAGCCCGATGCGGGGCTCGAACCCACGAACTGTGAGATCATGCCCTGAGCCAAAGTTGGATGCTTAACCGACTGAGCCCCTGAAGAGCCCCTCAGCAGTATTATCTTTTAATACAAGTCCCGAGACGTCAGGTCCGAGGCCACGGAAGAGCCTTTTACCTTAACAAACACCAAGCCACTTTAAGGGAATAAATGTGCAATTCTTAGAAGAAATTCCATATATTGAAACATAAAGAAGCTGTACGGTTTTCACTAATAAGCAAAAAAAATGCATCACAACCATAAGCCTGGAAAAGACGAGTAGTCTGACAATGCCATTTTCGTGCCGACGTGAGGAAGAGGAAATGCAGACTAAATGTGTGTAGTACGAATTCAGGAGAGGAATCTGGGAGCATCTGCTAAAGCTGAAGAGGCACACAATTGTCACCCTGGATTTTAGTTCAAGGCAGCTAGCTGTTCACAAGGACACATATGAGAATCATCACTGGGGCCATGAGCATTAAAAAAAAAAAAAAGACAAGAAAAAGGATGCAACTCACAACCATGGATTTCCCACAGGACGATGTAAATAGAATGGTTTACTTTCATATAATGGAACTTTATACTGTGCTTAAAATAAAAGAACTGGATGTGTACTTATTACCGTGAACCGATGTCAATACGGGTCAGTGAGAAGAAAAAGTTAAAAAAAATATTTTTTTTGCTATATCATTTAAATAAATTGTTAAAACACCAAACCAGTACATATTGTTTATTAATATGTACATACATGCATATACACACACATACACACTAAAGTTTTTTTTTAATGGTAGGAAATGATATATATTAGCATCAGCACAACAGGAAGGAGGGGCAGGACAAGTTCTAGCTGTCCCTGTTTTATTTCTTCAAAATGTGGTAAAAATGTTTGAAGTATTTTTAAATACTTCTCTTTAAGACTCTTTAAGTCTTAACTTTGAACTCTTTAACTCTTCTTTTTAAATTCTCTTTAAGACTTTATAGCTTGGGGGCACCTGGGTGGCTCAGTGGGTTGAGCATCTGACTTCGGCTCAGGTCAAGATCTCACGGTTTGTGAGTCCAAGCCCCGTGTTGGGCTCTGTGCTGACAGCTCGGAGCCTGGAGCCTGCTTCAGATTCTGTCTCCCTCTCTCTCTCTGCCCGTCCCTCATTAGTGCAAGTACTCTCTCTCTCTCTCTCTTGCTCCCAGAAATAATAAATGAATAAACGTTTAAAAATCATTAAAAAAAAAAGACTTTAGAGCTTGCATAATGATTTTATTACTGGCCACACACAGAAAACTAATCTTAATTCATTTTATTTTGCCCATTTATATATTTTTGGACCCATCTCAATAATCTGTTTCATGAACATCTAGAAAAGGGCCAGCACTTAGTGATCACTCCCACTTCTGTGCCACTGAGCTCAGCATCCATACGTGACTGTATTAGTCACACTGTGTGATGAATGTGCTGACGGCTCAGTCCCTGGCTACAGCGTTTCTGGGCTGCTCCCCTGAAAGCACAGCCTGCCCGGCACCACAGTGGCCTGGCACCCAGGTCTACGCTGAGCAAGCAGGAGTGAAACGGTCAAGGCCAAGGGATGCCCATTCGTTCCTTCCCTCCCAGTACTTTCACCAAGGACAATGCCTTTATACACGTCCAACAGCTATGTGGTAATTTATAATATGAACACCTTTATATTTATATTAAGGAAATGAGAAATATAAACTCTTGACTTTTCAGATTACTACAGATTCAGTATCTGCCCTGATACCTCACAGGAAAACTCTGTACCCAGAATGAACCACACAATGCTGCACATCAAAGGTCCTCTGAATGGAAAGTCAGTCTTATGCTATGAGAATGTCATACTTCTGAGAAAAATGGGTCAGAAAGTAAACGTCAGAAATTACAATGTATCCCATGGAACATCTCCAATGTTACTCAAAACTTTTCAAAGTAAAAGTAAATTATTCAGTTAAATAATTTTTTTTTAAAATCAAACTAACTTCAGGATAGTTTTAGAGTTTTATAAAAAAGTTGAGTTTCTCCTGTTACTAAAATCTTTTATTGCTAAGGTGTATCTATCACAAATAAGGAGACAAAGTTGAAACATTATTTATTCAGATTTCCTTACTTTGGTCTTTTATCCATTCTAGGAGCCTATCCAGGATACCATGTCACATGCAGTCATCATATATCCTTAGGATCTTCTAGACTTTACCAGTCTCTCTGACTTTGTGCGTTTTTAATGGCTTGACAGATTTGAAGAATACTGGCCAGGTACTTTGTAGAATGTCTCTCAATTTGGGTATGTCAGGGGTGTTTCTCATGTTTAGACTAGGGTAATGGGCTCTTGGCAGGAAGACCACAGACGTGTAAGTGCCATCTTCCATCCTCACCACAGAGTACCGTCCCGACATGACCTCACACTATTGACGGTGACCTTGGGATCAAGTTTCTCCACAGGGAAGTTATACTTTCTCATCCCCTCTTCCCACACTGTATATACTCTGGAAGAAGGTTACTACCTACTGACAGCAGAGTATCTATATAAATCACCTGGAATTCTGCACGGGAACTTACTCTATTCTCATCCATTTATTATCCAATCATTAATGTCAGTATGGCTTCCTGGATATGTATTTTATACTGTGGGATATAATTTAATACTACATTACTTATTTTATCCCTGAGGTCACTGAGGGTTCTTCCAGGTTCCACGTCCCATTGACTTAGTCCCATCGTTTTGTTTGTCGAGCGCTTCCCCTGTTTTCTGGCACTACAGGATGCTCCAGGTTCCCTCATTTACCTAGAGATCGATCACTTATCTAAGCCATTTCTCTTGTTCCTTTTACTGGTATTAGAAACCAAGATTTGGATGTTGAATGAACTGCTTTATTTCTATAAATAACTTAGTTTCCTGACTTCAAAAATTCACTGTAGGAAATTAGAAATACAAAGAAAACAAAAATCACTTATGACCTAACCACTAGATGTAACTAATATTATCATTTTGATGTGTATTTCCCAGGCTTTTTTTTTTTTTTTTAACATTTATTTATTTATTTATTGAGAGAGAGAGAGAAAGAGAGATATCACACATGTGCAAGAAAGAGGCAGAGAGAAAGGGAGGGAATCTCAAGCATGCTCCATGCTATCAGCATAGAGTCCGACACAGGTTTGAATCTCACGAACTGTGAGATCATGACCTGAGCT